CGGGCCCGGGCCAGTCCCGGGGAAGGCGGCAAAGAACGGGAAGGACCGGGATCGCCAGGACGGGCGCACACGTGCCGCTCAGCCTCCCCAGACCCCGCGGCTCAGGCCGGGCGCTGCTCGTGCAGCAGCTGAGGGGTCAGGCGGGGCGAAAACCGTCCGGGGCGCTCCAGCTTCGGGACCGTTACCCAACGCACGGGTTTGTACCGCGACCAAGACTGCGACTCGCCGCTGTGTCCAGTTTTTCTGTGGCTTTGGAACCTGCCCTCTCGTGCTTGTCTGAAGGCACAGTCAACGGTCGAGTGCGTCAGCACAGCGTTGGGAATACAGCGGGCACCGGGTCCCCGCGGCGCAATCTGTTAGTGCAATTTGGCTGTTAGCAGGGAGGTCAGTGGGTCAGGCTCAGCCAGAGCCTACTTTTAACTCTTCCCCAATTCCGCGTTTACGAATCACTTCAATGCCCGCTTCCTGACTCCTATCCACTTGAAGGCTGATAGCGGCCAACAGGCACCCCACCTGACCAATGTCCCACATTCCTCTGGCTCCCCACTTTATGCCTCCATGACTTCTGCCTCACTGAATTTCTTAAATATGAACTGGGGGAGGGAGACACTGGAATCATCGCATTCCTAGACAGTGGTGACCTGGTTTCTGGGAGTCGGACTCCTGGAGGGGGTGCGTTGGGCCAGGGCTCCGTGGAGGAAATGGAGGCCGAAAAGGACGCTCCCATTTACTGAGTGTGAGGTGCGTGTCCCTGGAGAGGGTTGGGGCAGCCAGAGCAAAAAGTAAACACACGGCCAATGAGGTCCCACTGAGACTTGAACTCAGAATCCAGAGTGCTCACCATTACACCATAGAACCACCCTGGCTCAGTGCCTCAGGTCTCAGTACCTCAGGTCTCAGTACCCTTGGAGGAGTCCTTTCCCAGTCTCCTGCATTCCCCCAGAATCTCTGTCCCAGGATTTTTTCCTGGTCAGCAGCAGCCCAGGCCCTCAATCTATGGCAGGAGGAGCTGCCCCTCACCAGGTTCTCTCTGTGTCTTCAGGTTTGTGTTTCCAGGGATGAGATTTAATCCCCTCTGGGATTAGGGACAGGGAAGAGGTCTCCAGGCCTCCTTCTCCCCAGGGAAGTGTCCCTTTCCTTTTCTCTGCAGCTGTCCTCTCCCAGTTGTCCAGGCTGCCCCTCCCAGTTGTCGAGGCTGATGATGTCAGAACTGGTTTGGCAAGTCCTGGGATTGTCCCTCCTGCTCTGTCTCACTCAGACCCTCTCTCTCTGCCTCTCCTCACCCTCCTCTTCATCCTCCAGCTCCTCCCTCTCCCCAGCCTCAGTCCTCCCTGCCCCCTGCCCCTCCCTGTCTGCACAGCACAGGCTCCAGGACACTGGGAAGGGCGGCCACAGTCTCAGGAAGAGGAGGAACGTGCTCACTGAGGCCGGCGCTTCCCTGGTCAGCAGCCTTCAGGGGTCAGTGCTGCTGAGACAGGGTGGGGTGCCCTGGCTGAGCACCCCTATCCAGTTGTGGAGGCCAGGGCAGCACAGGACACTCCCAGAGCTGGGGCAACCCCAAAGTACAGGACCTGGGCTTCTGCATGGCTCTCAGCTACTGGCCAAGCCTGGAGAATTTAGCCTCCTGCAAGACTGCCCCTCACTATCCCAGATGAGAAAAGGCGGTATACCTAGTACCGCCCCCCTCGTGGCCAAACCTGATGAGGTGCACAATGCTCTGAGCTGCTGGTGCCAGGGAGACAAGATTGATAGAATAAACTACCTCCTGACATAGATGCAGAAAAAATGCTCCTCCCCGCACCTCCAGTTAGCATAATGGTTATGTCGCTGGACTTCCACGTAGTAGACTGTGATTTGAGTCCTGCATACCTGCATGTTTTTCAAGCCTCAGTCCCTTCTCCTCCATTCTCCTCTCGGAATTTTGGGCACCTGGCACGAGTTCAATCCACTGGGCCTACGACATGAACTGTAGTCAACTACTTGGGAGTCCATCTCCTTAACCACCACACCACCTGCTGACCCGTAGTCTATTTATTGATTATTATTATTATTATTATTTAATTTGCTGTAGGGCACAAGTGCTCATGGTTTGGGGCGGAGGGAGGAGAAAAAGTGAAAACGCAAGCTGCCAGGTCAAGTCAACCATGTGGGACTCTAGCACCTTAACCACCACACCTGCCAGTCCCTCATCCTAGTTTTTTGTTGTTGTTGTTGTTTTGTTTGTTTTTACTTTATTATTATTCAGTTTGACCAGAGAGACAGAGAGTGAGCAAGAAAGGAAAAGTGAGAAAGCAAGCCACCAGGCCCAGGACTCAAGCTGTGGTCAACCTGCTGGCCCCACCCCAGTTTATTTTTAGTGGAAAATAGTATTTAGAAACTATGATGCGGGGACCAGCAGTTGGAGTTATGGCTATGTTGCTGGACTCCCATGTAGTCTACCATGGTTTGAGTCCCAGACCCGGTGGCGTAAACTCACGCCAGGCGCGTGTGCATTCGTACCCAAGATCCCGAGAGAATGAAGGAGAAGGGATTGTGGCGTGGCCATCCCGCCTGGGGGGGGCTTTCTCACTTTCTGTCTCTCTGTCTCTCTGGCACGCACATGCGCCCTATAGCGAAAACCTCTCCAAAAAAAAAAAAAGCAACTACGATGCAGATACTAGATGTGCCCTTTGCTAATAGGGCACATTTGCTTCTGGAAACTTGTAAGAGGGTATCATGAAGGCAGGAAGAAAAGTATTGAGACAATGACAGAAATATTTTTCAACCCTTTATTCAGTTAGTATTACATACTGCTTTTTGTTCCATACCTTTCTTAGGTTTTTGCCATGGGTGTGTGCACCCTGGAGAGAGAGACAGAGAAAGTCAGAAATCACACCCACCCCACCCAGGGGAATGGATGCACTGTAATCCCTTCCCCCCCATTTCCTCCTGGGATTTTAGGCATGCATACACAGGAACCCAGCATGATTTTCAAGTCAGGTCCAGGACTTGAACCACAGTTAGCCATGTGGGAGTCCAGCACCTTAACCACCATGCCACCTGCTGGTCCCTGTTCTATACTTTTTAATGGATTGGGGACACGTGGGATAAGATCCAAGGAAGAACATCACGGCAGTGTTACGTTTTGTGCTCTTTTCTTTTTTTTTTTTTTTTTAGTTTTAGTTTTTGCTATAGAGCATGTGTATTCACCAAAGAGAGAGAGAGAAAGGCAGAAAGAGAGAGAAAGTGAGAAATCATCCCCCAGGGGAAACAATCATGCCATAATCCTTTCTCCTCCATTCTCCTCTCGGGATTTCCAGCACATGTGTACACGCACCTGGCATGTTTTTCAAGGTACCGAGTTCAGGACTCAAAGCACGCAGTAGGTAGGCCATGTGAGATCCAGCTGCCTTCACCACCACACCACCAACTGGCCCAAGTGTTACATTTCTGCATCACAGAGTTTTACGGTGTTTTTACTAGAGGGAAAGTATTAAGAGCTGTTTAATATTCAAAAACCGGTGGGGTGACTTCTTGACAGGCAATAAGAAAACTTGAGAAGTTATTTCTGCCTTGATGATTTTATAAATACTTAAGCCATGAGAAGACTGAGACATTCTGGGAAAGAAGTAGGTCTGGGAGGGGCACAAGGGTATAGCACTAGTAAGAGCAGCTATTGAGGTTGGGTCCCTATCAGCCGTGACCTTCAGGCAACAGGGTCCTTGTATATCAGCAGGACCCAGGCAAGCTGCAGGCAGGGATTCCAAAGATTCCATGACACCTCCCCCACCTTCTTTTCTGTTATTGCAACTGCTTGTTGTAAACTGGCACCTCAAGCCTTCCTCCCTCACTGTGCTGGGGTCAGTGCAGTGCCTCAGCTCGGAGCTCTGGCTCTTGATCCTTGCTTTTGGGATAAAAGACTTTCAAGCATTGTGGGGTGGTGTTCAACTTCTTCACAACCGTAAGTCAAGGTTTCGTTGTGATCCTTCATTACCGAAAAAGCCTATTTGATTTCACTGATTTTTCAGCTCATTCTGTGTTCTTTTTTTTTTTTTTTTTTTCTTCTCCCTGGTCTCTAGCTCTATCCCTTCTGCCACAAACATCAACGCGACAGTATCTGTCAGGCCTTCATATGATCCGGGGACACAAAGGAGCATCTTAGAGGTTAATCAGCAATTGCGTTTCCAGCTAACCATGAGTCAACAGCCGTCCCAAGATCCAAAAGAGAAATTTCTGACATCGGAGGCTACTGCCTCCTCCCTGGCCAACCAACTGCAGAAATACAGTAAGTTCTCTAGGTTCACCATCACCAGTGTAATGAACGATCATATGGCTTCTCTCTGAGAAAATATAGACATGACTCTTCTTGCCCCTTCATCATGATAAATTGTATTTTGCCATCCTAGAGTGGAGGAAGTGGGAATTTTGCCCTCAATTTGATGAGGATGGAAAAACTTTCCCAAGATTCTAATGAGTTGCAGTGTGGGACTAGAACTAAACTCCAGTTTATATATATGTATTTATCTAGAGAGATTTTTGCTATTAGGACACGTGTGCTCACCAGAGAGTCAGAAAGCAAGAAATCACCTAGGGGAGATGGCCATGCCTACAATCCCTTCTCCTCCATTCTCTTGGGATTTTGGGCTCACATGCACATGTGCCCAGCATGAGTTTCAGGCCACTGAGTCTGGGACTTGAACTACAGTCAGACATGTAGGAGGCCAGCGACAGAACTGTGCCATCTGCTGGTCCCCAAACCGTAGTTATTGATTCTTGTTGTAGGCACAGAACTGCTGGTTTTTCTCAGCAACAGGCCAACCCATTTTTATCAGGATGCCGTCTGTACCGTATCAGAACCTGCAGACAGGTAACATCACTGTTGGTCTAAATGTCTGGACTAATGAACTTCCATTGAATTCAAGTTTCTGTAGAGATCCATAAGAAAAGCACTGTTGGGAACCAGCAGTTAGCGTAATGGCTATGTCGCTGGACTCCCACGTAGTCGACCGCGGGTCGCATCCCGGACCCGGTGGCTTAAAACTCACACTGGACACGTGTGTGTGCGTGCCCAAGATCCCGAGAGGAGAATGGAGGAGAAGGGATTGTGGCGTGACCATCCCCCCTGGGGGGTGATTTCTCACTTTCTGTCTCTGTGTCTCTCTCTGTCTGGCAAGCGCACACGCCCTATAGCAAAAAAAATTTCTCAAAAAAAAAAAAAAAAAAAGAAAGAAAAGCATTGTTTGGGACCAGCAGATGGCATAATGGGCTACGTTGCTGAACTGCCATGTAGTCGACCGTGGTTTGAGTCCCGGAGCCGGTGGCTTAAACTCACGCTGGGCGCGTGTGTGTGCATGCCCAAGATCCCGAGAGGAGAATGGAGGAGAAGGGATTGTGGCGTGACCATCCCCCCTGGGGGGTGATTTCTCACTTTCTGTCTTTCTGGCAAGCACATGCACCATATAGCAAAAACTTCTCAAATAAAAAACAAATAATAATAAATAAACAATGTCTGACACAGAGCAAACACTGATAGTTCATGGTTACTTCTAATTTACCAAAAACTTTTTAAATGTTTGTTATATTTCCTTTTCTAAATAATTATTTATTTCATTTTATTGATTATTATTAGTCTTCAGTTTGACCAGGGAGAGAAAGAGAGAAACCAAGTTACCGGGTCCTGGACTCGAACTGCAACCAGCCATGTGAGAGTCCAGTATCATAACCACCACCTGCTGGCCCCTATTATTTTTCTTTCATGTCCTTGTGGTATTATCTTCTAGATTTTACTCAGTATATCTAGTTTGTTACCTTCAAGACATTTGATCCTTCTTGAAATACTGAACTCAAGGGAACCTTTAGCCCTGTAGTTCTTAGGGACCTTGCTAAATCTATAGGAAATTACTTCTTCATGTTGCAGCTAACTTTTACTTAAGAGACTGCAGAGCTCAATAACATGATTCAGAGTTCGACCACAGGGATGTGAATTCTTTTTTTCTTTTTTCTTTTTTTTTTATTTTTTTTTTTTGAGATTTTTTTTTTGCTGTAGGGCACATGCGCTTGCCCGCAAGACAGAGAGACAGAAAGCGAGAAATCACCCCCCAGGGGGATGGCCACGCTGCAATCCCTTCTCCTCCATTCTCCTCTCGGGATCTTGGGCACACAAGCACAAGCGTCTGGTGTGAGTTTAAACCAGCGGGTCCAGGACTTGAACTGTGGTCGACTACATGGGAGTCCAGTGACATAGCCACTATGCTAATTGCTGGCCCCCCATGTGAATTATGACTCTGTCAAATACAGTTGAACTCCTTTGCCAAGTTATTTATGTATCTTTAAGTTGCTCATTTCTTGTCTCTGAAGTGGAAGGCTCAAATGTCATGTGGTTGGGAGATTGAGAAATATAGCTCTAGGAACCCCCTCCACAGAGCCTAGCACTGGGATTAATATTATCTTTGGGATGAGCCCTGCCTCTCCCTGAAGGCAGTGACCACGGCAGTACGTCCAGAATAGTCTGCCCAGTGACCCAAGAAAGGAAGCCTGGCCACTTCTCAGCAGACGTAACCTAAGATTTCCCGGAATGTTATTCTCAGAATATCCTGTTTTCACACCCAGAATACTTATTTCCCTGAGTTTAAATAGGCCCTTAGGCTTACAATGTGTCATGGGGAAATGTCTGTGACTTACAATATCTGCATTTATTTGTAGAAACAGGAAACGGTCAGAAAGATGAGAAGGAAGAAGAGCCAGCAGTTCCCGAGTAAGTCTGATAATCATGGGCTGTGAATGCAGTGGTGACGTCTAGACTTCTCAGGTCCTGAGAGAAGCAAAAAGTGCGGACTATATTTCATTCATTCTGTCCACCAAGAATGTGGTCTGTTTTCTTGGCCATTCTCACATTGATTTCCACTTTCTGTTAATTTCTTTTTTTTTTTTTTTTTTTGAGAGGTTTTTCACTATAGGGCACATGTGCTAGCCAGACAGACAGAGAGAGACATAGAGACAGAAAGCGAGAAATCACCCCCCAGGGGGGATGGTCACGCCGTAATCCCCTCTCCTCCATTCTCCTCTCGGGATCTTGGGCACGCACGCACACGTGCCCGGAGTGAGTTTGAAGCCACCAGGTCCAGGACGCGAACCACGGTCGTGGGAGTCCAGCGACATAGCCATTACGCTAACTGCTGGTTCTCATACCTTCTGTTAATTTCTTAAGTTTAGTAGCTGAAAGCCAATCTCAGGGATTTTGCACATTCAGGGAGACTGTCTGTTCTAGCCAGCGCAGATGGAACTGAATAAGATGCATTCGTTTCTGCAAGATGTCCTTGGTTTGTTGGAAGGGACTTTATATCAAAAAAATGTAACTAGTCCAACAAAAAATTGCATTATGTTAAAATATTGACAGAATAAATTTTAGAAGGCACACCATCTCTGTGAGACAACATTGTCCCGGGAGCTAAAAACTGGGATCCTGCAAGTAAAATAGGAGAAAAATCATAGTGGAATTATAACTATCAATGTGGTTTCCACGGTGTGCTGCATGTCATCACTGTACCCTACAGAGAGTTGAGTCTCTGTCCTCATCACGTCATGTGGCCTGTGCACTGAGCCTCTGCTGCTCTCACTTCCACTCTCATGGAAGCGTCACTCAGCCCCAGTCATTATAATATTGATTTCTGGACCAGCAGGTGACATGGTGGTTAAGGCACTGGACTCTCACATGACCGACTATGGGTCAAGTCCTGGATCCGGTGCCTTGAAATACACCATATGCCTGTGTACACGTGCCCAAAATCCTGAGAGGAGAATGGAGGAGAAGGGATTGTGGTGTGGTGTGGTCATATCCCCTAGGGGGTGATTTCTAAACTTCTTTCTCTGTCTCTCAGGCGAGCATGCCTGCCCTATAGCAAACATCTCTCTTAAAAAATAAAAAAGAAAGATTGCTTTCTTCTTGTTTGAGGGGTGACCCTTTGTGACTTCTTCTTTAGTCTTCTCTTTTTTAAAAAAAGGATTATTTATTTAATTGTATTTATTATTTTAATTCGACCAGAGAGACAGAGAGAGAGTGAGAAAGGAAACCACGAGGTCCAAGACTCAAACCATGGTCAGCCATGTGGGAGTTTAGCACCTTAACCACTATACATCTGCTGGCCCCCTTCCTTAACCTTCTAATCAAGACCATTTGTAGAAACTGTGATGTTCAATCCCTTTTGGCTTAATATTTTGTCTTTTCTACTTTACCAGACTCAGCAGGGAGCTGCAGGAAAAGGAAGAAGTGAATGAAGTCCAAAATGACACATTGGATGGTCACCATGACTCGTCTGACTCCAGCCACCCTCCTAGCCACCTGGCCTTCCTGTCTGATGAGCGTGAAGTGGATTTTGCTCAGGAAGGTACCCGTGAGTACTGCCATTATAAAGCAGATACATGCAAATGACATCTAGGTAGCCTCCATCTGCTCTGTGCTCAGTTCCTCTGTCTGGGGTGAGAGCTGTCTCTGCCATCTTGATGAAAATTAGTCCCTAGGACTGAGTTTTAAGTACATCCGGTTATAGGGATAACCTGCTTCCCTTAATATTGCCAGACAGCACCTCTGTCACTATGGGCCCCCACGGGAAGGCAAACAGAATGGAGAGAACGACAATGTTGTCCTACACTTGCAGCCACCACTGATGCATGTGAACAGCAGCCGTCTGCATGAACTCATTCAAGACAGGATTTGGGTTATTTTGCGCGACGTTCTTGGTAATTGCTGCTCTAGGACGATATCCTCTGAATGTCGACGACTGAGGAGGTTGGCAACCTTGGTTCTATCTCTGGAGATGCAGTTATCTCTGTTACTCAACTTAAGTCAGTCTCTCTGTTCAGTATTAATATCTGCTGACTAAGCAGTCCTGAGTGTTGGAACAACAACACCTCCATCACTGCCCTGTCTAGAGTTTTCCTTGGGAACAAGAAGGCATGGGCCATTGCACTCCTATGTCACACCAAATATTCTTTCCTGCTAAGAATATATCATTCCATCCATCGGTCTAGCATCAGTAATAATCTCATATCAAGGTAACAAAACAAACAAGGTAACTCTTGGGGAAAAAAGTGGATCTTGCAGCAACAACACTTTGATGGCAGCTAACCATGCTCTGTGCAGTCTCTGGGAAAAAGATATGATTAACTGCACAGTGCGCAGGGCCTCCGGAGACAATCTACCAGGCGCGGGACTGTACACTGGGTGGCTCAAAGGCAGATGCCATCACTTTTCATAAGAGACAAACTGAGGCATTTTGCTGGGTACTTGAGTGACTGTCTAGGCGATTTTTATTTCCCACAGAGTACTTACATTCTTGAACTTGTATAAGCCTCTGTTCAATGTGTGAAGAAGAAACCATGTCATATAACTAGCTCTCTCTAAATTGATTTGCAGAGAATCAAAACAATCACAGGACAGAAGAGAAGAACCCAGCGGCCTCCAGATAACACAGGTTACCAAGGCAGTGCTGACGTCCGGACAGGCAGACTAGGAGAGAGAGGGCCACTTGTACTATTTCATTTTTCAAGCAAACAATGAAAATCCCTGTTAGGAATGTTGCCCATGGTTTTTAGATTGCTTTCCATCCTCCATTAATACTTCAAATTTAAGTAACCTAGAATTAATCTCGTGAATGTCCAACACTCAGGGAGAATAATTGTTCTCTCAGGAGTGGACAGAGATGTCTCAGATGCATTTCTTTCTGCAACATAAACTTTGATTAGTTGACAACTATTTCCAAATGATAAATGTAACTAGACGAAAAAAATCATTATGTCACAATATTAAAAAAAAAAAAAGTAAGTTCTAGAAGGCACAGGACTTCTCTGAGACAACAATCCCACAGGAGCCAGGAAGTCAAGAGAAACAAAAATGCATTGGATTGGGAACAAAAGCTATGGTCCCTCATGTCCTACCTGTCCTGACAGCTCTATATGGAGAAGGTGTATGGTGTGTTCTCTGTGTGCCCTCTGTGTGTGTGCCCTCTGGGTACACTGTGTGCCCTCTGTGTGCTCTGTGCCCTCTGTGTGCTCTGTGCCCTCTGTGTGCCCTCTGTGCCCTCTATGCCCTCTGTGTGCCCTCTTTGTGCTCTGTGCCCTCTGTGTGCCCTCTTTGTGTCCTCTTTGTGCCCTCTGTGCCCTCTATGTGCCCCCCTGTGTACCCTCTGTGTGCTCTCTGTGCCCTCTGTGTGCTCTCTGTGCCCTGTGTGCCGTGTGCCCTCTGTGCCGTGTCTGCTATGCCCTCTGTGTGCCCTCTTTGTGCTCTGTGCCCTCTCTGTGCCCCGTGTACCCTCTGTGTGCTCTCTGTGCCCTCTGTGTGCTCTCTGTGCCCTGTGTGCCGTGTGCCCTCTGTGCCGTGTCTGCTATGCCCTCTGTGTGCCCTCTTTGTGCTCTGTGCCCTCTCTGTGCCCCGTGTACCCTCTGTGTGCTCTCTGTGCCCTCTGTGTGCTCTCTGTGCCCTGTGTGCCGTGTGCCCTCTGTGCCGTGTCTGCTATGCCCTCTGTGTGCCCTCTTTGTGCTCTGTGCCCTCTCTGTGCCCCGTGTACCCTCTGTGTGCTCTCTGTGCCCTCTGTGTGCTGTGTACCCTCTGTGTGCTCTGTGCCCTCTGTGTGCTCTCTGTGCCCTGTGTGCCGTGTGCCCTCTGTGCCGTGTGCTCTCTGTGTGCTCTGTGTGCTCTGTGCTCTCTGTGTGCCCTCTGTGTGCCCTCTGTGTGCTCTCTGTGTGCCCTCTGTGTGCCCTCTGTGTGCTCTCTGTGTGCCCTCTGTGACCTTTTATTTATATAATTAACCAGGGATCACCAAAAAAAAAATAATAATTCAGAATAAAAACCTCCCAGTTAAGTGTTCAGGAAGGAGTTACTGACAAGAAAGAAAGGAATCGAGTCCCGCAGAACACACTGGATGGACGGAATCTGACCATCTCTGGTAAAGTCAAACTGTCTGCATCTGACCTGCTTTCTAAAAAAAAAAACCGCTTCTGGGTGTGATGTGCATGCACATGTGGCCAGCGAGTGTTCTCATGAAAAAGAGAATAAGGCTCCCACTGGTCTTGCATGTAGCTGTCATATTTCGGTGCTCAGTCCTCTGTCCAGGAAGAGAGCTGTCTCTACATAGACGGACCCCGTATACCCACCTTGGTTGGAGTCAAACTGTATGAATGAGTTTTAAGCACACGCATCAATTGCAGGAGGTATCTAACTGCATGCTTCTGAGTCCCTGGCCACACCTCTGTCATCCTGTCACTCGCTGGCAAATACGTGTGTTGGAATCAATACGGAACAGGGTGAATAGTAGAGGAATCCTATCAAACTCAGGGACCAGCAGATGGTGTATTGGTTACATCACCAGACTCCCAAATAGTCAACCGCAGTTTGAGTCCTAGGCTGAGTGGCTTAAAATTCATACAGGGCATGTGTATGTGCATGCCCAAAATCCCAAGAGGAGAATGGAGGAATCCTATCAAACTCTGCCACACCTTAGCACATAAACAGAATCTCACAGACCTTCCACCATGACATCACCTCTCTTCTTCTATGTTCTTGCTAATTCCTATTTTTTTAAAGAATTACTTATTATTTTAATTCACTAGAGAGAGAGAGAGATAGAAGGAGAGAGAGAGAAAGAGAGGGAGAAGGAGAGAGAGAGAGAAAGAGAGAAAGCAAGCTGACAGGTCCAGGACTCGGGCTACAGTTGCCCATGTGAGAGTCCAACACCTCAACCACCACGCCACCTACTGCCTCCCTTGCTAATTCTTACACTCAATTTTCTTTGAGGATCCGTGTCCATTCACACTGAGTGGTTTTCTTGTGGTATTTTTAGAGGTGTCGTCACCATGATTCCTCGGCTCCGAGCTCTAGTCCCTCTCCTCCTAGCTGGCATGGCCTCACAAGCAGTCATCTGAATGTGAGAAAAAAGACACCGCCATCATTGCTTGTGCTGGAACTTCTCCTGAAGACAAGGGTTGGCCCTTCCAATCCCAGTCTTACAACTATCTAAAGACTGGGACCAACAATTGGCGTAATTGCTATGTTGCTGTGGTTCTAGTCCCAGACCCTGTGGCTAAACTCATGCTGGGCACATGTGCGTGCATGCATGTGTGCGTGCCCACGATCCCGAGAGGAAAATGAAGGAGAAGGAATTGCAGCATGGCCATCCCCCTGGGGGTGATTTCTCACTCTCTCTGTCTTTCTGGAAAGCGCATGGCCTATAGCAAAAACCTCTAAAATAAAACTGTCCAAGGATCTTGTGTTCTATGAAGCATCAACGATATCTTGAGTTGCTCATTGGCAAAATTTGAGATGGCATGATTGAACAAATAGGGTGTGTGAGCATATAGAAAATGCTGAGCATGAGAAACCAAAATCTTCTTTCTTAAGAGCAGGGCTGACCATCTTACATCAGTGGAATGAGGGGCATTGCAGAGCCAGAGGATGTACCATTACCCAGTGTGAACCAACACCCCCTTTTTCCACTAATGCAGGGCCTTCCTTTCTTTGCCTCGGTTCTGCTTCTCAGACCAAATGTTGAGCTTTGACCCCATGGTACAAGTACTCTTCTATTCTCCTCAACAGAAAACACTCAAGAAACTGAATGTCTTAGAAAGACTCAGGTCAGTTCTGGAGCCCAGCTTCAAGGGTCAAGAAAGGAGGTGGAAAAGCTGAAGGCAAAACTGAAGGAACTTACAGAAAATTTCCAGGAGATTCAAAAAAAGATCGCGCAGTTCAGGGATATAAGTATAGCTCACAAAAAGGAATTTTTCAGGTAAGAGGGGGTCCTTTGTTATACAAGGCGACTTCATTTTCACTTAAGGGATGTTGGCAAGACAGCCAATGCTCTTGCCTAGAAACCTGTCTCCCCCCTCCTGTTGCTGATTCATGGGTGACTTGTGAGGAGAAAGGACTTTTGTGGAAATAGCACTGCAACATGGTGAGAGTGGAACTTTCTATTAATTTCTCAAGTTTAGGAACCAGCAGATGGCATAATACTTATGTCGTTGGACTCCCACGTAGTCGACTGTAGTTCAAGTCCCAGACCCAGTGACTTGAAATTCACATTGGGAGCATGTGGCGTGGCTACCCCAAATCCTGAGAGGAGAATGGAGGAGAAGGGATTGCAGCTTGCTTATTCCCCTTGGGGGGTGATTTCTCACTTTCTGTTTCTCTGTCTCTCCAGTGAGCACACAGCCCTATACCAATCATCTCTCAATAAAAAAAAAAAAAAAAAAAAAAGTCTCAAGCTTAGAAGCCACAGTCAATCTCTTAGACTTTCTCTGCACTCTGGGAAAACGCCTATACTCCCCTAAGTGGACAGACCCAAATGAGTTGCATTCATTTCCGCAAAATTGTCCTTGGCTTGTTGACAGAGATTACATGATCAAAAAAAAAAAAAAAAAAAAAAAAGGAAGAAGAAAAGAAAATAACTGCACCAAAATTTTCTATTATACCAGAATGTTGAGAGAATGAGGTCAACAAGGCCCATGATCTCTGAGACAGTGGTGTCTGGGGGTGAGGGGCTTTATTTTCTGGGCCACTGGAAGTAAAGTGAAACAAAATTACACGGGGGTTGGGACCAGCAGTTAACATAATGGCTATGTCGCTGGACTCCCACATAGTCGACCGCGGTTCACGTCCCGGACCCGGTGGCTTAAAACTCACACCGGGCGCATGTGCGTACATGCCCAAGATCCCGAGAAGAGAATGGAGGAGAAGGGATTGCAGTGTGGCCATCCCCCCTGGGGGGTAATTTCTCACTTTCTGTCTGTCTCTCTCTGTCTGTCTGGCGAGTGCGCGTGCCCTATAGCGAAAACCTCTCCAAAAATAAAATAAAATTAAAAATAATAAAATAAAATTTAAAAATTGCAGAGGGGTTGGAACTACGGCCTCATGATGGCTTCCGGCTTCATGATGGCTTCCGTGTGTTGCCTGCTGTGACTGTACCCTTTGGAGAGATCGGAGTCTCTTTCCTTGTGTGCGTCATCTGGCCTCTACACTAAGCACTTGCTGCTGTCCACATCCCTCTCCATCCCCTCTACCCAACCCATGCCAGCCACCCCCGTCATAGTCAGATGTGAGATATGGATGGTTTTGTTCTTCTTTTTTTAGAGATTTTTGCTATAGGGAGCGTGCACTTGCCAGAGAGAAAGAGACAGAGAAAGAGAGAAAATGACAACTCATCCCCCCCAGGTGAGATGGCCACACCACAATCCCTTCTGCATTCTCCTCCTGGGATATTGGGCACATGTGCACATACACACACCCGGCATGAGTTTCAAGCCTCCAGGTTCCGGACTGCAACCATGATTGGACTCCAACCATGTGGGAGTGCAACACCTAAACCACTACGTCACCTGGTTTCTTATTCCACTTCTTTGAAAAGAATCCCCTCTGCCTTCTTGCCTCTCACTTCATAATAAGGAATCACCACAAAACAATGGTATCCAATTCTTCTCTATTTCAATATTCTCTTCTCCATATACCTCTGTGTTCAGAAAGGAGCTGTTCTCTGAGGAGGAGGAAGGGGATCTACCACAGAACATACTGGACAAAGAGAATTTAACTACCTCTAGTAAATTTGAATTGTCTGACTCCGAACCACCTCTTGAAATGCCCATTTCCGGGTCTGATATACATGAAGTGTGCTCTAACGTGGATGCGTCCAGTGAGTATTTTGATGAAAAAGGAAATAAGACATACACTGGTCTTGTATAAGCCACCCATATTGTCGGTGCTCAGCCCTCTGTCCAAGAAGAGAGCTGTCCTTACATACCCACCTTGGTTTGAGTCAAACTCTTTGAGTTTTAACCATACATATCATCTGGATGAGGTAACTTCACACTCTTCCTAGTCCCTGGCCATGACTCTGTTACTCAGGCACTCACTGGCAAATGCATGGAGTTGGAAATCAATACATGCCCATGTAGACACAGTAGTCCTGTCAAATTCGGCCACGCCTTAACAGAATAGAATAGGACAAAACTTCTGTTGTTGTGACATCTCTCTCCTTTTATGGTCTTGCTAATTTTTACATTCAAACAGGATCTGAGGCTATCCACGGTGGGTGATTTTCTTGCCTATGCTGTTTGAAAGTATCATTACCATATTTTCTCCCTCCAAGCGTCAATCCCTCTCTTCTAGATGCCTTTTTTCATAAGCACTCATCTAAGTGTGAGAACATAAACACCACCATCATTACCTGGGCTGGAACTTCCCCTGAAGACAGGCTTAGCCTTTCCGATCCCAGTCTCCATAAATGACCAAAGATCTTGCATTCTAGGGAGCACCAAGGATGTCTAGAGTTGCTCTTGGGCAAAATTCAAGATTGGATGATTAACAAATAGTGTGTGATCACACAAAAATTGGTGAGCATGAGAAACAAGAATGTTCTAAGAGCAAGGCTGGCCATCTAAAAAAGCAGAATAAGGGGCATCGCAAAGACAGATAGATCATCCCCCAGTGTGGGGCATGTGCCAACATTCCCCTTTTCCACCAGTATAGGGCTTTCCTTTCCTTTGCCTCAGTTCCATTTGTCAGGACAGATATGCTTGGGTTCATCCTCCCATTGAGGTTTTGTTTTTTTTTTTTAAAGAATTATTTATTTAACTTTTTATTTATTCATTCATTTATTTTAACTTAACAAGAGAGAGGAAGTGAGAAAGCAAGCCACCAGATCTGGGACTCGAACCGTAGTTCACCATGTGGGGGAATGTCCAGCGCCTTAATCACCATGCCACCTGCTGGTCCCTTATTATCTTTTTAAATTATTTTATTTTAAATTTGACCAGATAGGGACAGAGTTAGGGCAGAAGGGGGGGGGGAGGTAGGTGAGAAAGCAAGCCACCATGTCTGGGACTTGAACCGTGGACAGCCATGTGAGAGTCCAGTGCCCTTAACCACCACACCACATGCTGGTCTCCAATTGAGTTTTGATTTCATGGTACAAATATTCTTGTATTCTGCTCAACAGAGAACACTGATGAACCCAAATGTCTCAGGAAGAGTCAAGTCAATTCTGGAGTCCAGCTTCAAGGACCGAGAAAAGAGGTGGAAAAGCTAAAGATGAAACTAAAGCAGCTTTCAGAAAATTTCCAGGAGATTCAGAAAAAGATCATACTGTTCAGGGATATAAGTATAGCATATAAGAAGGAATTTTTCAGGTAAGAGGGTCCTTTATTATACAAGGTGGCCTCATTTTCACACAAGAACAAGGAATGTTGGCCAGACAGCCAGTGTCCTTGCCGGGAAACCTGTCTCTCCTCTCCTGTTGCTGATTCACAGGTGACCGTGAGCAGAAGGAAGGACTCCTCTGGGAATGTCCCTTTCACTCCAAAGCGGGGAGAGTGAAACCCTTGTATTAATTTCTCAAATTCAGAAACTAAATTTCATGATTTCTGCACTCTGGGAGACCACCTGCTCTCTTTTGAGTAGAAACACTCAAATGAGAAAGACTGGGGACCAACAGGTGACATGGTGGCTAAGGCCCTGGACACTCCCACATGGCCAACCACAGTTTGAGTCCCGGACCTGGTGGCTCACTTTCTCACTTTCCCCCTCTCTCCCTCCCCTCACCCCCGGTGTATGTGTGTGTGTGTGTGTGTGTGTGTGTGTGTGTGTGGTCGAATTAAAATAAATGAATGAATAAATAAAATTAAATCTCCCAAAAAAAAGCAATGAGAGACACTTATTTCTGCAAAATTGTCATTGGCTCGTTGGCAGAGATATCATGGCAAATAATACTACACCAAAAATTTCTATTACATCTCAATATTGAGAGAATGAGGTCAAGAAGGCTCATGATCTCTGAGAGACAGCAGTGTCTCAGGGGCCTGTATTCTCTGGGCCACTGGAAGTAAAGTGGAACAAAATTGCACAGGGGTTGTAACTACGGCTTCACGATGGCTTCTGTGTGTTGACTGCCATGACTGTACCCTTTGTGCAGTCTCCATCCTTTCTTTCTTTTTTTTTTTTTTTTTGAGAGTTTTTTTTTGCTATAGGGCGCGTGCGCTCGCCAGACAGACAGAGAGACATAGAGACAAAAAGTGAGAAATCACCCCCCAGGGGGGATGGTCACGCCACAATCCCTTCTCCTCCATTCTCCTCTCGGGATCTTGGGCACGCACACAAATGCGCCCGGCGTGAGTTTTAAGTCACCGGGTCCAGGACGCGAACTGCAGTCGACTACGTGGGAGTCCAGTGACATAGCCATTACGCTAACTGCTGGTTCCCCAGTCTCCATCCTTTGTGTCATCTGGCTGCTGCACTGAGCACTTGCTGCTGTCTACATCCCTCTCCATCTCTTCTATGCAACCCCATGGCAGACACCCCTGGCCTAGTCGGAGGAGGGAAGCTTCCCTCCCCCTTCGTTCATTGAAAAGATAACCACTTGGCCTTTTGTCATATTTCATTTTGGACATCAGGACTTAGCACATAACTGTGAGTCCAATCATCTGTTCTCCATATACCTGTTTATTCAGGTGGGAGCTGCTGTCTAAGAAAGAGGAAATGAGTCGAGCCCAGCAGCACACACGTGATGAACAGAACTTGACTATTTGTACTAAATTCGAACGGTCTGATTCTAACCTGCCTCCACACACACCTCTTTCCCAGTCTGATGGACGCTATATGTGCCCTACTGTGGATGCAGCTGGTGAGTATGCCCATAAAAATGGGAGTAAGGTTCCCACTGGACTTGCAGCTACCCCCATGCAGTTGCTCACCCTTCCAGAAGAAAGAGCTGTCACTGGGCAAGCAGGACTTGTATACCAACCTTGGTTTGAATGAAAATGAAAATCTAGGAGTGAGTTCTAGGCACATACATCAAGAAGGAGAGAAAAACTTCACCCTCTTCCTAGTGCCTGGCCTCATCTCTCTCACCATGGCTCTCACTGGCAAATACGCGGTGTTGGAATCAACACAGACCAGTGTGAGGAGGGGGGGAGTATCCTGGCAATCTCTGCCTTTCCTTAGCACACGAACAGAATTGGACAGTCCTCCTCCTGTTAGGGCATCTCCTCTCTCCTTCAGCGGTACTGTTCATTTTCACAGACAGTGTTCTTTGAATGTCTGTGTGTCCATGCTGGGTGGTCTTTGTTGCCATGGTACCTCAACTCTGATCTCTAGTCTCTCTCCACCTAGTAAGGTTGTCCTCATAAGCAGTCATCTGAGTGGGAGGACATAAACACCACTATCCTTGCCTGTTCTGGAACTTTTCCTGAACACAGGCTTGGCCCTGACAATCCCTGTCTCCACAAATGACCGAGCCTCTTATGTTCTCTGTGGCAAAAATAGTATCTTAGGTTGATCTTTGACAGCATTCAAAATAGTGTGTGAGCATGTAGAAATTGGTGTGCCTGAGAACTAGAATGTTCTAAGAGCAGGGCTGGCCATCTTAAATCAGTAGAATGAAGGGCATTACAAAGACAGAGATGAAACTTCCCCGGGGCGTGTGGGAGAGTGAGCTGACACTCACTTTTTCCACCAATATAGAGCCCTCCTTTGTGCCTTAGTTCTGTTTGTCAGGACAGATGTGCTTGGGCTCAACTTCCCTCTGGGTTTTGACCCCATGGTAGAAATATTCCAATATTCTGCTCAACAGAACACACTCAGCAACCCGAATGCCTCTAGAAGACACAAGCTACCTCTTAAACCCTACTTCCAGAGTCCATGAAAGATGAGGAATGGCAGAAGATGGAATGCAAGCAGCTTACAAAACAATTCCAGCACCTGCAGAAAAGGATCATGCAGTTCAAAGATAAACATACAGCCAAAAATTTTTCCAAATAAGAGTGAGTCCATGTGTATACAAGGTGGCCTCATTTCCTTTCCTTTCTTTTCCTTTCCTTTTTTTTTTTTTTTTTTTTTTTTTTTCCTGTAGGGCACATGTACTTGCCAGAGGGACAGAGACAGAGGGACAGAAAGGGAGAAATCATTCCCCCCTGCCCCAGGGAGATGGCCATGCTGCAGTCCCTTCTCCTCTCTCCAGATCTTGGCCACGCACACATGTGCACACACACACACACACACACACACACACACACACATAGCCGGCATAAGTTTTAAGCCTCTGGGTCCAAGACTCAAACGGTCAACTACGTGGGAGTCCAGCAATGTAACCATTATGCCATTTGCTGGTCCCAAGGTGGCCTCACTTTCACATGAGAAGAGGGGATGTTGGCAGGATAGTCAATGCCTTCGCCTAGTAACCTGTTTTCCCTCTGCTGTTCCTGATTTATGGGTAACTGTGAACGGAAGGAAAGACCTCTGTGAGAATGTCTTTTTTATGCCAAAGCAGACAGAGTGAAATCTACTAATTTCTCTAACTTAGAAACCCAGAGTCAATCTTATAAATTTCCCTACACTCAGAGAGACCATCCGTTCTCCCCTGAGTGGACAAACCTAAATGAGATGCTTTGTGTATTTGTGTGTCTAAAATTGTCATATATTTGTTGGCTGAGATTTCATTGTGAAAAATGTAACTACACGGACACATTCTTCTTACATCACAGTATCGGAAGGGTAAGGTCTGGAAGGCACATGAGCTCTGTGACACAGCAGTGCCTCCGGGAATGTGGGGTTTCCTCTACTCCCCGGGTCCCTGGAAATAAAGTGGACAATATTGCTTGGATCTGGAACCACTGTTATGGTTCTCGTCCTGCGCAGCCTGTCCTGCGGTGCCTTACGAGGAGGGTGAGTTCCCTTCGGCATCTGCGTGTGACCCGGCCACTGAGCACTCGCTGCTTGCCATGTTCTTCTCCATCCCGTCTGCCCATCTGTGTGGCAGCCCCTGTCGGTCCTAGTCAGAGGAGGATGGTTTTGTTCCGCTTCTTTAAAAAGACAGCCCCTCTGCCTTCTATAACCTTTCACATAAAACTTTAATGAGGACTGTCAGAGAAGGAGGAACACACTGGATAAACAGAATCTGACTATTTCTATTACGTTTGAATCGTCTGACCCCGATCTGCCTCCCAAGCCTGCTCCCTGGTCTGATGGATGTGAAGTCTGCTCTACTGTGGACAGCGCCATTAAGTATTCCCATGAAAAAGAGAATAAGGCTCCCACTGGTCCTGAGGTCGCATCCATATTGTTTGTGCTCACCTCCTGTCTAGCAAGAGAGCTGTTTGTAGGCAGCCAGGCCCTACATACCTTCCTTGGTTGGAATCAAACTCTAGGATCAAGTTTTAAGCACAGACATCAAGTGGGTGAGGTAACTTCACACACTTCCTAGTCCCTGGCCACGCCTCTGTAACTCTGGCACTTGCTGGTAAATGCATGGTTTTGGAATCAATAAAGACCACTGTGAAGATACTGGGGGTCTCCTGGCAATCTCTGCTGTTCCTTAGCACATAAACAGAATCTGACAGATCTTCTTTGTGACATCTCATCTCTCCTTCAATGGTTTCCTAATTTTCGCATTGCAACAATGATCTTTGAGCACCTGTGGCTGTTCATGGTGGTGGTTGTCTTGCCTATGTATTTGGAGATGTCATTGCCATGTGTTCCAGTCCCTCTCCTCCTAGATCATTTGTCCTCATGAGCAGACACCTGAGTGTGAGAGCATCAACAACACCATCATGGCCTGTGCCGGAACATCCCCTGAACATAGGACGTGGCCCTAGCAATCTGGCTGACTGTAGTTTGAGTCCTGGACCTGCTGGCTTGCTTTCTCACTTTTGTTCTCTCACTCTCTTCCCCTCCCTCTTTGGTCAAATAAATAAGGTTAAAGAAAATTATTTTAAAAAAAGAAAGATGTTGGGAACCAGCAGTTAGCGTAATGGCTATGTTGCTGGACTCCCACGTAGTCGACCGCGGTTCGCGTCCCAGACCTGGTGGCTTAAAACTCACGCCGGGCACGTGTGCGTGCGTGCCCAAGATCCCGAGAGGAGAATGGAGGAGAAGGGATTGCGGCATGACCATCCCCCCTGGGGGGTGATTTCTCGCTTTCTGTCTCTATGTCTCTGTCTATCTGGTGAGCGCATGCGCCCTATAGCGAAAATCTCTCAAAAAAAAAAAGATGTTGATAATGATTGTTCATTTGTTGCCCATAATAGTATCAAACCCTCAAGAAACTTAAAATTACAAAAATATATCTCTGAACATTAGAAAAATTAAGTAAAAGCATTTCTAAATGCTAGAAATGCATGCACTTTATGCATGTAAGGGGCATAATGTCAGAGAGATGAGACCTCAGCTGCCCCTATTCAGTGTACATGATGAACAAAGACACAGTCTTCCAAATTCCGCTTGGAAATATTCTTACAGATTCAAAATTTGAGACACACGGGAGGACTTAGATCATCTCTTGAATGCGATACACAGGGAAATAATAGAAGGTCTTACAATGCCTTAAAAAAAGTGCGACACTTGCTGGTATCTTCCTGGTTGGGATAATAAAAATTTAAAAAACAAACAAAACTTCCTTTTTGGGTTTTCAAAATTTTGAAGCACAGGATTGTGAGCAAATACCTCTCAGGACAACTGAAAATTAAAGGTCTTAGAATTATAAATATCCCAGGACCAGCAGGTGGCGTGGTGGTTAAGGCTCTGGACACTCCCACATGGCCGACCACAGTTTGGATCCTGGACCTGGTGTCTTGCTTTCTCACTTTCCTCTCTCTCTCTCTCTCTCTCTCTCTGTGTGTGTGTGTGTGTGTGTCTCTGGTCAAATTTAAAAAATGAAGGAATGAATGAATAAATAAATAAATCTTTTTTAAAAAAAATTATAAATATCTCCCTCAGCATGCATTGTGCTTTCATCTGCACTTTACACCAAGTTCGATTTCCAAAGAATGTTCAATGCACTGCAATTATTCAATGACCTCAGAAGCCTATTGTTCTATTCTTCTAGAATTATGTACTTTATAAAGATCTTTCCGTGGCGCTAATATTGGTGAAACATGTTTTCCTCTTCTGGATTTGCTAGGTCTGTTCTCTCAGGTTGCCACCTGTTGTCACTGACCAACCTACCCCCTCAACTTGCACCTGAAATTCTCATAACCACTTCATGCTAGTCAATAGCTAGTCTCAGGTCTTATAAGACAGGCTACTCAATGATGGTGGGAAAATGATACAGTTGACTAACAATAAAATGAAACTTAGGGTTTTTTTTTAAGTCATATGAATTATATTATTTTATAAAAGAATTAATTTATTACTTAATTGTATTATTACTAGTTTTTAGTTTTGACCAGAGACACAGAGACAGACAGACAGAGAGGGAAAGTGAGAAAGCAAGCTTCCAGGTCCAGGACACGAACCACAGTCTACCATGTGGGAGTCCAGGGCCTTAACCACCATGCCACCTGCTGGCTCTAAAATTCTTAAATCTACACAAGACAGAATGCAAAAAAACAATATTCAAATGGTTTTTATGAATTAAGACTACTCTAAAAATTAAATAGTGTGATAAATGTTTCCAGACTTCTATGTCTTCACAGGAACAAATGCATCCGATGTGAAATAGCTGTTTGGTTCCTATATATGGCTTCCTCCTTTTCACATCCTCATTGTTTTTGCTTCAGACATCTAAGACCATGTAATTCATGATCAGCCTTTTATTCCTGGTCTGTTTAATGGTGTGGTTTTACCCACTGTTATACATATATCCAAAGTACATATATACTTTGAGATGACGATACTGAGAATAGCCTAAGGTGAAGCAGTGCGCATTATGCTCCCTGGTGAGAGAACAAATTTGAAAAATAAATAACATAGCCTCTCTGCTATTATAACCTACTTTTAAGCACACTTTTTAAAAAATTACCAAAGGAGGGGCCAGCAGGTGGCATAGCAGTAAAGGGTATTGGACTCCCACATGAAAGACCACGGTTCAAGTCCTGGATCTGGCGGCTTGCTTTCTCACTGCCCCCCGCCCCCCCCCTCCTCCATCTCGCCTGTCCCTCTCTGGTCAAATTAAAATAAAGTTAAGTAAAATAATTCTTTTTAAAAAATCACCAAAGGACACATGAGCTTGCCAGAAAGAGACAGAGAGGGGATGGAGGGGGAGCATCATGTGGTCACCGTAATCCCTTCTCCTCCATTCTTCCGTCCTTTCAGGATTTGGGGCACACATGCACATGCACCCAGAGTGTTTTCAAGCCACCAGCACAGAGGTTCAAGCCATAGCCAGTCATGTGGCATCCAACTCCTTAACTACTAGGCTACGTGGCCAGCCCCTTAACAAGCATACTTTCTGTTGGTGTCATCTCCACCATTTCCGTTTATTATGTGTTTGAACTACATCCTTTTCCCAGTGATCTAGCCAGCTTAGGGTACTGTTCAATCTGAAGTTGGGTCAAGGAGAAACATAAGCATGGCTTGAGGGAACTGCATCCACACTTAGCTATTACCTGGTTACCTAAAGCCATAACTACTCAGCTTAAAGTACCATTGAGGGGACCAGCAGATGGCGTACTGGTTATGTTGCTGGACTTCCAAATTGCCAACTGCTATTCGAGTCCCAGACCCAGATGCATTAAACTCATGCCAGTGCATGTGCAGGCATGCCCAACATCCCAAGGGGAGAATGGAGAAGGAATTGTGGCATGGCCATATCCCCTGGGGGGGGGGGACTTCTCACTCTTATCTCTCTGTCTCTGTCTCTCCAGTGAGCACACATGCCCTATAGTAAAAATCTCTCTTAAAAAAAGTACCATTAGGATTATGTACCACAAAGTTTAATGGCATGGGTATGGTAAATTTTGTAATGAAATCAAGTTCCTTGGTGTATGTATGTGCGTGTGTATATCTATCTATCTATCTATCTATCTCTATATATATACACACATATCTCTCTCTCTCT